TGCATATATATTTCCTCTAAATATTTTCGATTGTACATGCATCCGAACAAGTGGGCTTTAGCCGACGAAAGCTTATGATCTAATAAATTTGTTAGTCTCTAAGGTGCCACAAGTCCTCCTGTTCTAATTTCTGCTATGTAGCCAATATATAGAGCCCCATTGGAGGAATTGCATGATTAGTTATGCAGGCATAGAAAATTTTTGAGTTGGTAATTAAGGAGAATGTGCAATTCCTTTGAGTCAACTACTGCTCAAAAAGAGAGAGCAAGTTTGGTGATTGTCTGTCACTGCTCCTGTCCAGTTTGAGTCTTAGGCTAAGTTCTTTTAGCCATATGTTGGCAAGGGACCTGTAGCTACCACCATTTTTAAAATGGCTTTCAAGAGTTAGATGATACTCATTAAAAATACTGATATCTGTAGAGGCCTTGTTTATACTAGTGTTTTCATCATTGCTAGCACCTATGGAGCAGCACTTGTGATAGTGTAGTGATGGTAATTAAAAACAAAAAACATGCACCTCTGTTGACTTGGCCTTTGAGGCCATAGTGGTCATATTCTTCCTTTGATGAAAGCAGAGGAAAGGTTTCTCTGTTCAAAGCTGTGTGTCTGCTTTGACTGAACCATCCTATGCATAAATCTGTTCTTTAAGGCTTTCTTTTGAGCCTGTTGACTCTAGGTAGTTTCTAAGCACATTGGGATAAAAAGACTGTTCTTCTATACCACTGCACTTTCTCATCCCTAGACTTCAAGTTTGTGGAATATAGGTTTTATGGGTAATGTTATAGAAGTACTTAGTCATGCATGATTCTTGACATAGACCAATGTCGACTTTTGCCTAACATCTTAGGACTTCTTTGAATGTAAATGGTGGCATTGAACTATATTGTATGTTGTCCTCTTCTTTAGATTTTAATAGATTGTGCTCTGCAATCATTTTAATGTAATTTTACCTTATTTGTGTTTGTAACCAGTACATATGGGAGGGCGCGAGATTTTGAGAAAGCATCCTAATCAATATTTACCTGTATTTCAAGGCATTGTATTGGACTTAATGCCTTTTCCATAAGTACACTTTTTTCTTTCCCATATGTGTTTACATCGTAAACTTCTGCTTAGAATCCCTTCTTATCTGTATTATTTATCCAAATATGTATACAGTACCTTGTTCTGCCAAAGTTTTTTAATTTTATTGCTTTCACTGGTTTCTTAAGGTTAAAATTGATTGCATATGTCTATGAAATAAGTTCTGCTAATGCCATATTTTGACTTATATTTTGAAAGTTTTATATTTATTGGACTTTTTATTCAAAAATTTAATTAGTTGGTTATTTTATTTTATCTTTGTTTTAGAACTCTTTGACAACTACATGCAGCAGGATGCACATGAGTTCTTAAACTATCTTTTAAACACAATTGCTGATATTTTACAAGAAGAGAGAAAACAGGACAAACAAAATGGCCGTCTACCTAATGGCAGTATCGACAATGAAAACAATAACAGCACACCAGATCCAACCTGGGTTCATGAGATCTTTCAGGGAACATTAACTAATGAAACCAGGTGTCTTACTTGTGAAACTGTAAGTCTGTATCTGTTTTATAGAAGAAATTCTTATTTCATACTCTCAGGAATCCATTTTTCTTTAAAATAATTTGAACTGCATATTTAAATTAAATTTTTTTTTACTCCTTTAGTTTCAAGATTCATGCAGATGGTAAGTGTATTTTTGTAAGCTTTAAATGTAACTATCCGTATGATCCACTAAATATTAGTGAGTGATTAAAATTTTTTTTTAAATGAGTGATCACTGAATGAGTTATGGGAAGGAACCCTTATTGGTCAGTGAAAGAGTACTGAGCAAACTGTTGCATGAAAAATCTGCATTTGGATTTTTGAACTGTGCCCTCATAATCAGCTTCAGAATTTAGATAATGTTTTAAAAATAAGGATTAAAAGTTTGGAAGGGCCTGAATATAGTTATATGTAAATCCACCTTTTTTGTTTTCATTGTTAATCCTTTTACTTCTAATAGGTTAGATTTAATAGTAAACTATTTCAGATTTAGATTTAAAACATTGCTATCATTCAACATACACATTTATATTCTATAACTAAATACATCTTCCCAGGTGAGCTTGATCAGTTTTTAATTTGCCAAATTTGCTTAACATGCTAAAATCAATATGACAGAATTCCATTGTACCTCTAGTGTTCAAAATTGGCCCGTTTTTTCTCATTTATTTAGATAGACAAGTCTTGAATATAGAGAGATGTTTCTCCCCAGGATACTATCAAGTGCTTGCTATTCCAGCTCTGGTCTAGAGGATCAGCTCAAGTCTCAAATAGGTTCCCTACTTAAAATAAGATATTAGAATGATGACTGTAAAATATATAACTTAAACATTGCATCTGCATAGATCGGGGTCCCCAATGCGGTGCCCCCGGGCGCCATGGTGCCCGCCGGGGCATCTATGTGCACCTGCCTACTGGCCGCCGGACAAGCAGCCACCAAAATGCTTCCGAGAAGCGGCAACGTCAAGAAGTGTTGCTGCCGAAATGCTGCCGCTTTTCAGCGGCAACGCCTCTTGATGACACTACTTCTGGCGGCTGCTTCTAACTGGCCACGGCGACAAAGTGAGGGAGTTACAAAGGCCCCATTTTGACACTTTTTTTAGGGCAACCGGAACTGTAAGTCACTGTCACCCTTCTGCTTTAGCAAAAGAAATATTTTTGGTACTACACTCTGTATACACATTTTTGGTGCTCTCTGCCGCCCCAGTCTGTTAGCCAGCCAAACAAACTCCTCCTCACTTTGCCAGTCCTAACTTTGCTCTGCAGGTTAACCCTTGATGTATTTCAGTTCCCTAACTGTCCAGAAGCATGTCTGTGCAGCATCCAGCCCCTGGATACCTGTGTCTCCAAAGAGACAGAATACACACCAGCCTGTTGGCTTAGCTGTGGATCCACACCTCACTTAACAGCACTGAGATGAATTTATAATAAAACAAGAATAAGTTTTTTATTAATTTGATTCTAAGCAGCGATAACAGAAAATTGTTACAGATAAAACAAAAATATAATCACGCTTTCTAGTGACTAAAATTTAACAGATTACAATCCTTGTCCAAGGCAGTTTTCTCACCTACAGCTACTTTTTTAATATCGCCAGCCCTAAGTAGTTGGGGAATCCACCGTTCATAGAATGTAAAGAATGCTGACCTCTTTCCCCATAAGTTCCTCATGGAGGAGCCCATGAAGACAGAAACAATTTCTGACTGGCGAGACACCCCTTCCCCCCAAAATAGGTAGGAATGGCCCCTCTTATTTGGTTCTGGGCAGTTCCAAGACCTCTGTCTCCCTTCTGACTCCAAGAGACATTAGAGAACAGAGCTAAGACAGATGAGGGAAAAGAGACACACATGCTACCATAAGGACAAGAGGGAAGATCCTCTGACTAAGACTTCTAAAAAGAGGTAGAAGTCTCCATCCCATACCAAGTCATTGGGAGCTTTGTGCTCTGGAGTGGGACCATCCAGTACCAGGAAGGACCAGTCTGGGACTTCCTCAAATGAAAAAACAGCAGTACCTCCAGTACTGGGAGTGGTTCTTTGGCACCAAAACCCACTTTGGTATCCCTAGATCTGATGCCTTCTACTTCAATAGCTTGAGCTATGGAAACTACTCCATTGACTTTGGCTCGCTTCTCGACTCCAGTGTTCTCAGAATATATGTTCCATTCCTTTCCAGACCCCAACATGTGATGCCAGAATGGTAGCTGGTACCAGTATCCCTATAGTATTCCTCCCCATCCTCATGTAAAAGTAGGTGTTGAAACACGGTACTATCAACAACAGGGTGCTCACATTGGATCTGAGCTTCACAACTTAAGAATCATAAGAGAGCTATGACAGACACCCACTCCTGGACGGTGCTGTGAAGGGTTCTTTGAGAGGATTGAGCCTAGACAGAACATCGGGTGTCTCCAAGGTATCTCACTACTCTTATATGAAAGAGTACCCCACTATGCCTTCTGGTACCTAGTATTGTACCAAGGCCCTGCACCAAGGAGGTATGAGATCCCACAATGGTAGTATTGGGGCCTGGAAGATCTGTGAAACTACTGCCCAGTAAAGTCTCTTGTCTAACAAGAGGATAAAGGCGATCCAGGGTTCTGAGAGAAGAGGAAGAGCTTCATCAGCCTCCTGAAGACATGCAATTATAGCAGCATAAGGAAGAAGAAGAGAAGAGCAACAGGAGCAGGAGGATTATATGCTAGTGACCTTATCCTCCTCTTGCCGAGACAAGGGGGTGATTCCAGCTTCACCACCACATCCAGATTACACAAAGGCCTTACTTAAGAGTGTGACAGAGTTGCTACAGGTCCCCCTGGAAGAGGTCCAGAAAGCACCATACAAACTGCTGGACATCTTGAATAGCATGAGTCTGAGTTGTGCCCCTATTAAGACCATCCTCTAACCTACCAGCACTCTTTGGCAGATGCTTGCCATGATCCCACCAGTATACCTGTGGGCTGAAAACAGACATTTTGTACCTGTGAAAGGGTCAGAGTACCTATTCTTTCTCCCACCTCCCAACTTGTTGGTAGTGTCATTGGCCACCAACATAGCAGAGAGACAAACCAGGACTACGCCACACAAGAAAGAAGTAAAGAGTCTTGACCTCTTTGGGGAAAAAAGCATATCCTTGGTTTCCATACATTTTTGTGTGTCAAACTGCCAAGCATTGATGGCCAAGTATGATTTTACCATCTACCACAGGGACACTCATCCTTTACTTCCCAACTACCGCCATTGGAAATTGGTGTTTTGGCAGGACCTTCAAAAGCACACGCCAACTGTCCGTCCATATCTACACATCCCCTCTGGTTTTACTTCCCTTTGAAGGCTAACTTTCCCATTACCTATCTGCCTGGACAGAATTCACAATGGAAAGGTGGGTAGTAGAGGTTATCTCCTTAGGATACACCATCAATCTGCTTCCTTCCCCAACCTCCATCCATTTTCTGGGACATTTTTCATGAGAGGAGTCTTCTGTAAGAGGTAGAGTTGCTCTTTGAACTGAGGGCAATGGAACTAGTGCCTTCGACAGCAAGGAGAAAGGGGTTTTACTTGGGGTACTTCCTCATCCCCCAAAAGGCAGGAGGATGGAAACCCATTCTCAGGGAACTGAACAAATTAATACGCCACCAAAAGTTCAGAGTGGTGACCCTGCCATCAATTATCTCATCTCTTTACGGCCCTCATTTTCAAAGATGCCTACTTTCACGTGTTTCAGAGTAGCAGCCGTGTTAGTCTGTATCCGCAAAAAGAACAGGAGTACTTGTGGCACCTTAGAGACTAACAAATTTATTAGAGCATAAGCTTTCGTGGACTACAGCCCACTTCATCCGAAGTCTCTAAGGTGCCACAAGTACTCCTGTTCTTTTTACTTTCACGTGGACGTTCATTGGGCACCCAGGGAATTCTTGAGATTTGTGGCCAGTCAAAAGTGGTACAGGGGTCTCATCTTTGTACTCTTGACAGTGCTGAAAGTGTTTGATCAAGGTGCTGTCAGTGGTGGCAGCTCACTTTCATCAATGAAGGAGTGACCGTTTATCCTTACTTTAATGATTTGGCTCCTAAAGGAACAATCTTGCCAGGAAACACAAGAAGCAACCACCAAGCTTCTACGTTATTTGATAGGTTGGGTTTTAAAGTGAATCTGGAGATGTCTACCCCGTAAACCTCACAATCGATAGAATTTATCAGAGCAAGGCTGGATGCTGTTATAACCAGGGCATATGTACTACATGACCACTTCTTCTCCATCATCTGACTAGTTCAGTGAAGCTGGATGAGTCCCAGGGCATCCACATGATCCTGCTTGGCGCTATTGGGTCATATGGACACAAGTACCTATCTCATCCGGTTTGCAAAGCTTTATCTCTGATATCTGCAAGCCTGGTTGTGAACGGTTTACACTGGGCAAGCACAGTCTCTACTTGTTAGTCCTGATTCCCAAAAGGGTCTTAACCTCCCATACTTGGTGGGAGGATAGAGGAAAAAGTAGTGCTGTTCAACTCCCCACTTTCAGCAAAGACTATAACCACAGATGTACACCTTTTAGGTTGGGGAGCACACTTGGAGGGCCAGATTGGTTGAGCCGTATGGTCCTCTCAGGAGTCTGTGCTTCACATCAATGTGTAAGAGCAGCTGGACTAGCCTGCGAACAATTCTCCCTCGTATCTGTGGCCAGTTAATCTGGGTGTTTTTGGATGTGATGGCAGCCTATTACATCAACAAGCAAGGAGGAGCACACTCCTCAGCTTTGTGTGGATCCGTTGCCCTTGGAATTATAGCATTCCCAAGTATATTACCCTGACGGCTGTCCACCTGCCAGGAATCCAAAACATTCTGGTAGATTCTGTAAGCAGACATTTCTCCACAGAACTTGAATGAGACCAGCATGACCCAACTTCCTGGGGGATGTTATGGGTGTGGGATCTTGCATCCACAGATCGCGTCATGTCCCATGTGAACAAGTGCCAGGTGATTTGGGTGATGTTTTTCACATGTAATG